TTAATAATTTACTGAGTAAATAATATACTAACCAGTTGTAAATTTCCTCCTGACAAAAATCATGTGAGAGAGTTGAGTCAGGGTATTATACATATAATGCTGTGATCATAAGTTAAGAGTATTCTGGTTTATATTAGGTGGATCTTTAAAATCTTTTAGCTTTTCTTTCATTTACAAAATACTTTATAATTGCTCATTGCTATTCTTTAAGTATGCACGGATCTCAACTAACTATTAGTCATTACATGTATTCTATGATTATGTTATGAATTACCTTGATAAATTTTGTTTAAAGTTTGACCCATTTTGTTTAGCATTACGTGATCAACATATTTAAAGTGACAGTTAATTCGAAATAAGCAGAAATGTTATTATGCCAATAACCAAAGAGGAAAAACAAGAGTCATTATTAATGTTAACTTTTTTAGAAAATATGTATTAAATAGAACTAATAAACAGAATAAGTAGAAGCGTGAATAAATCAGATAAAAACAGAATATAGTTTGCGCTTACTTTTAGTACCATATTTGTATGAAAATTGCGTTTAACAACTTAAGCCACATTTCTCAGGATGATACTCAAAATGAGATGATAACTTATATATAACAAAAGTTAATTTAAATAAGCATGAATCTTATATGCCAGATATAATTACAATTAATTAAAAATAAATAGGGATCTGATCAACTCACTCGTAGACACCACATTTCACTGGAAATTACTTACCGACAAGTTCATTTCACCGACAGTTTATTTCACCAAAGCTTCATTTTACAATCAAAGTAATTCTGGTCAAATATCATTAAGGTCAGATCTAAAGTTGGTGTAATTTATAAAAAAAACATGTTGGTGAATGAACTTCGGTGAAATAAACTATGAACCTGTCGGTGAATAATTGTCGGTAAAATGTGGTGTCTATGAAGTGATTGTCGGTGAAATAATACAGATCCAAATAAATGATCTCTTTATAGGATAAGATATTTGAAATAGTAAAAAGCAACGGCAAGTACTAATACAGCAAAGTTACAAATATAACTTTTTATAAATGTAAAGCTTAACCAAACAGAGTTATACGTACGCAAGTCAACATATATAATGGGTGAAGTTAAATCAGGATACTATCCATTTAGAGCCTACCCGAATGTTCTATAGAATAGGTGGGCAAACTCCGCAACTCCGCTAAATATATATTAATGATTACTAATCATTAGCGGAGTTTATTTTTATATTGCCTACCTATTCTATAGAGCATCCATATTCTACGTACTTCGTACTCTGTTCCTGGTATAATCCCTGTGACGACGTTGATATTCTTGCTTCGTCGCATGCATTTATTTGATACGATACGGACGTTCATCACTAGTTCGTAGTATAACATGCCTCTTGTAAAATTTGAATATCCGCCCTTGATATTTTTATTCCTAGAAAATGCGCTACCTAGATAATTTAAAATTTTTTATATTGTTTATTTACCATATTTAATTATTTAAATTTTGACTATCGGGAAATTTGTTTTAATCTTTGAGATCCTGTATTGGCAATTCGAGATTTTAAATTTTGGTATCTTATATTTATGGATCTTAGCTTGTTAGGAACTTGTTTTTGTCAAAATTATTCGATAATTAAATGACAGGATTTTAAAATACGTAGAACAATATCACATGCAGTCGGCTGATTACAAGAATACGGATTAAAGGGTACTGTACGTACGTTGCACATAGAATGGTATGACGCTAAATAAACTATAAAATACCTTGCGCATGCATGTGTTTAAATTTCAAACTGCTTTACTGTTTATGGGTCAAAGGATAAAACATTCATTCAAAATTATTCTTTTAATACTATTATGCGAGGTTTCTTGGGTTGTTAGTTTCACGCCAGAGGCTCGAAGTGGCCATGAAGCAGTGTTAGTAGATGAAATGCTTTATTTTATGGGAGGTTCCATCCAAATACTACCCACAAATCAAACAAATCTATCGGATGAAGTATTTTATTTGAATCTTTCTTCACAATTTACCATTGACAATCCACCATTTATGGATATTACTAACACTTCCCGGATGCCTTATGGAAATGAAAAAGGTTGGTCCTCTTCCTAAGTGTGTTTCTTGTTGAATTCAAAGAACTTATGCTCTTTAGGCCAAGCAAAGTTAATTTTTCGTTTTGCATAACCCGCCGCCCAAATTTTTTTAAAAAATCCATTTATTCCAGCTTTGCTGTTTAATTTTTTCCATAAAATTAACCAATTTCACCAGATGATTACCTTAACTTTCCGTATTTACCCGATAGATCTGATAAAAAAAAACAAAGATTCCAAATTTTCTGGTTGCATGTTTACAAAATGAAAAAATAACTTTGCGTGGCCTTAGATATGAACATGAAAAAAAAACCCTGACCCGCTGGAACATCAGGTTATACAACCCGAAAAATTAACCTTATATTATTTATTAGTGTCGCGTAGCTTTCCTTTGCTACGGCGTAATCGTCGATCTTACTATGTAACTTCACTCGCTTGGCAGATACGCGAA